GGTCTGGAGGGGTTCTGAAATGATAAACTAAACTTTTTATGAACCAAGCGACCACAACAAACAGTCTTAACTTCCACACATAGATAAAGACCAACATGAAAATTCAGAAAATTTTCAAATACCGTTGATACATACACACTTTCAAACAAACAAAACGATTTTACTGCAAAAGTACACTAATAACCTTTGACACTCATCATTTTATCTTAAACGAGAAAAAAAATTGTACGAGACATAGTTGCCAAAGAAAGATAACTGCAGCAAGCGGTAGCACGGAGTGACATAAAAAGTACCTGTGATAGAGCTTCACACATGTAGTAATGTGCTCTGAAAGAGGAATTATCTATTTTCCTAGCACTGTAACAATCTCTTATGGCCATATGAACATCATTTTTCCACTTCCGCTGAAAAAGATTTCAGCTTTTCTCAATTAGAAACCAAAGAAGATACTGGCATGTAAGAGTGCATAAAAGAAAAGTAACGAGGAAAAGGGCCCTCCACCTGAACCTGAATACATATAAAGTATCAAAAGGAAACAGGAAAATAGCACATCACCACAGATGTTCCTGACTACTGAAAAATTAACATCACCAAACAACTATGAAGCAGCAGTTCAAAAGTATATAGTAATTCTATTCTGCCCCACAGAGAGAAAACAGCTAATGGTGCTCTTCAAACTTATGCTGTGATGATAATAAAAATAAATAATATAAAAAAGAGAAGATTAAGAATCCATAAATCGTGACGTCTTGAACTTTCTTTTGGAAGTTGAATTATATTAAAAGAAAATGAGAAGATGATGGGGCTATTGGACCAAACGAACAACTTATGATCGGGAGATGGTGAATAATCACAAGGGAAAGAAGATTAAAAAGATTTCTGGAAAATCTAAACAGAAAAAAAAAAAAAAAAAAAACTTCAAATGAGATTAGAAGATATTTTAAATTTCTTTTTGAAAAAATGGCATTGGCTCCTTTAGGAATATATTTGGAAAAAGAAAAGCTTGTTTCATTTACTAGCCTAAATATGTGATTCCTCAAGGAATCTCCATAACATCCAACCCCACAAATAAATATACGAAAAAAAATGGACAAAAGATAGGCTGGGATACATAAATTTGAAATGGAACATGAATTTGAAGCAATAAATATAACGCGTTACCTTGAGTAATAAAGCAGCACGTGTGCATAATGAATCGTGCTTCAGAATAACTCCAATAATACGGCCAAATCCATCCAAAATTTCATTACATGCCTCAATTCCACCAAAGTAGTTGCCACCCTCCAAGCATTTTTCAGCAATTTGTAGTAAGTTTCTGCATTTATCAAGCTGAAAAATACTTGTTAAATTAAACCTTTGAACCATTCAAGCAATAAGATTGTTCAATTATAGCATTTGTTTGAGAGTCACACCTTCGCATTAACACCACCATTTAAAGGCAAGCCGTTAGAAAGATTCGGAACAGGATGCTGCAATTCCAATCCGTTGAGTATGGGAGTGAAACTCATTAATTTAGAAACATCTCCTGATGTATACTGCATTGTACCTAAACCAGCTGTGGGGAAAAATATATAAATGCAATTCAACAGAACTAAATCGAAACACATTAAATATAAAAATATGGTTTCACAAATACGGTAAATGCCATTATCTAACTAATAAATAAAACAATGATTGTAAACTAAAACAGAAAATTCAAAATATGATCCTTTCCTAAGAAATCATCACATCTTAGTTTCGAAACAGCCATTATACATGTTGATTACATAAAATAACATTTTACTGTAAATTTAAAACAAAATCCATCAATTCTCTTCCATTATCTAACTAATAAATAAAACACTGATTGTAAATTTAAAATAAATCAGAACGATTGATCAAAAAAATAGGAAATGCATAAGAAGCTTAAATTTTAAGACAAATTAAGATACCACGATTTACATTCATCAAGTACACATGTTCTCCACTATAGCTAAGAAGGATCTCTTCTCCATTCGGACTAAAAGTAACATGAGTCAAATGCAAACCCGGTCGAACCTATGAAAACAGAGAGAGTATAAGATCAGAAGTCTGAATTGGTACAACCAGAGAAGGTTAGAATTAGAATTAGAATTAGCAATCGTATGTTTTAAAACAACATCGTTTCCTTTTTAAAAAAAACAAACATATACAACAACAAAATGAGACTCTTCTAATCGGAA